TGTTCTTTGACCAATTTTTGGACACCCTGCCTATACCTTCCTTCCACCTTCATGAGCCACCCCTACCCCAACCACACAGCTTCAGCTTCCTATCCCTGCAGCACTCTTGCATACCTCAGGATCTCAGTCACATTGTGGGAGTCTGTCTTGGTGCAAATGAAGGCAAGGCGCCCATACTGCCCATCCAGGAACAGCTGCCTGCGGAGACTCTCATCCAGCATGTCCCTGGCTGTCTTATCATCGACTGCTCGCGTAACATTGGCCACGATCCACACAGCGTCGCAGTTCTTCAGGTACTGAGGACAAGAAGGGAACAGCAGGGTTATAGCCGGACACTGCCTCTGACCCAGAACCCTGCGCCTGGCCTCTGACCCTGAACCAAAATATCTGCAGTCCACTTCCTGACACAACACCTTAATCAAACCCAAGACCATTCTCTCTCCTACCTGGAACCATGCCCCCCACAGCCCCAACCCAAGAACAATCTCCCCCATTCCCCCTAAGCCAAGACCATTCCCCCCACCCCCCTGACCTGGGACAATCCCTCCCCCCACCCAAAGACCATTCACTCCCTCGACCCAGGACCATACCACCAACCCCTCGACCCAAGACTATTCTCCCTCCAAGCCCCCCCACTGACCCTAGACCACTTCCCCCACCTCCTCCGACCCAGGACCATCCCACCCACTCAAGACCATTCCCCCCCACCTCCTGACCAAAGGCCATGCCCCCTCCCCGCAAACCCGACCCAAGACCATGCCCCCATCTCCTGATCCAAGACCCCCATAATGCTAACCCCTGAGCCATGACCATGAGAAAATTCACAGTTCAGATCAACAATAAAAGGTCAGCAAATGTGTCTGTCTCTCTCTTTCTCCCCACAGATGTGGGCTAACTGTCTGGTCATTTCTAACATGGCAAAGCGGTGGCATAGTGGCAGTGTCACTGGGCTAGTAATCCAGAGTCCCAATCCAAGAGATAAGGGTTCAAACCCTACCACACAGCAGATGGTGAAATTTGAACTAGAATTGAAAGCTAGTATACTGGTGACCATGTAATGATTGCTGTAAAACCTACCTTACTCACTAAAGATCTTTGGGGCATCTGTCATCCTGTGTCTGGCCGACATGTGGTTGATCCTTTAATGCCCTCAGCAACAGACCTAGCAAGCTGTCAGTTCAAGGGAAATTAGGGGCAGGTAACAGATTCTGGCTTTGCCAGCAATGCCCACATCCCATAAACAAGTTTAAAAATACATCACCGCCATCTTATCCACTTTGTCATAAGCACAGGTAAAGAGCTGGCAATGTAGGCTGGACCGCTAGTCCAGAGGCTCAGTGTAAAGCTCAAATTTCACTATAGCTACGGGGAAATTTAAATTCAGTTAGGTGAATAAACTCGAAGGCTGAGGGGTGACCATAAAGAGGTCCATAAAATCGTGGGGGTCATGGACAGGGTGAATAGCCAAGGTCTTTTCCCCAGGGTAGGCGAGTTCAAAAACTAGAGGGCGTAGGTTGAAAGGTGAGAGGAGAAAGATTAAAACGGACCTAAAAGGGCTACTTTTTCCACACAGAGGGTGGTGTGTGTATGGAATGAGCTGCCGAAGGACGTGGTGGAGGCTGGTACAATTACAACATTTAAAAGGCATCTGGATGGGTACCTGAATAGGAAGGGTTTAAGAGGGATATGGGCCAAATGCTGGCAAATGGGACTAGATTTTTTTTTCTTTATTCATTAACAGTATGAGGGCGTCGCTGGTTAGGCAGCATTTATTGCCCATCCCTAATCGAAACTGAAGGCAATTTCGAGTCAACCACATTGCTGTGGGTCTGGAGTCACATATAGGCCAGACCAGGTAAGGACGGCAGTTTCCTTCCCTAAAGGAGATTAGTGAACCAGGTGGATTTTTCTGACAATTGACAATGGATTCACGGTCATCATTAGATTCTTAATTCCAGATATTTTATTGAATTCAAATTCCACCATCTGCCATGACAGGATTCGAACCAATGTCCCCAGAATCCTATCTGGGTCTCTGGATTAACAGTCCAGTGATAATACCACTAGGCCATCACCTGCCCCCATTAATTTAGGATATCTGGTCAGCATGGACGAGTTGGACCAAAAGATCTGCTTCTGTGCTGTATGACACTATGACTCTTCATTCTGTCCACAAGAAAGACCCGCAGCTTCCAGTTGCTGCCACTTCAACACACAACCGTGTTCCTTGGCCAACATCTCAGGCTTGCTGCAGCACTCCAGTGAAGCTCAGTGTAAGTCATTTTCCACTTGGGAACCCTGCAGCCTTCTGAAAGGAATCTCGAGTTCAACACTTTTAGGGTTGAGCACATTTCCCCAGGCTTTCCCCTATCTCCACACACCAGGCCTTGTCATTACACACGCTGCTACCACACACAACCCATTGTCAGCCACTAATTGTCCCCATTAGCAGCTATTCATTCCTCACACTGACCTTCAACCACTCCCTTGTCTGTCCAAATGTTCTCTCTCTCTTTGGGCTCTCTCTAGACCCTCCCCAACCCCACCTTCTGTATAAAAACCATCCTTCTCCTAGCCACCATCAATTCTCAAAAATAGTCACCGGACCCGAAACGTTAACTCTGCTTTCTCTCCACAGATGCTGCCAGACTTGCTGAGATTTTCCAGCAACTTCAGTTTTTGTTTCAGATTTCCAGCATCACAGTTCTTTCAATTCTTTTCTCATAAAGCCCGGGCAGGTTTGCAGCTCTGATGAAGAGTCGTCTAGACTCAAAATGTTAGCTTGCTCTCTCGCCATGTATTCAACCTGACCCACCGTGATCTCCAGCAGTTGTTGTTTCTGGTCTGATCAATACCTGACACCAGACAAAGTGATTGGCTCTTAACTCTGCCCTTGCAAATGACCTAGCATACCACTTTCAAGGACAGAAATGGTAAATAACTGACTCAGCCAGGAACACCCACATCCGTGAAAAAATAAAAACTAAGTTGGAAGCTACAGAGATAGAACTAGCTGCACTAGGGCAAGATTAAAGGTTGCGATTACTGTAGCTTTCTTCCCAATAACACACCTTCAAGATTTGAATTCAAACTCAACAACCAAATAATCAATTTACTGTCAGACAGTACTCATTCAGAGCCATGTTCTTAAAAACCCTTGCACCCACCAGGCTGGGCTGGAGGGAATACACAAGGGGTTTAAAATCTTAGCCGTGGCTCTCGTGAACTGGGTGAGCTCCTAGACGAGGTGTGACCTGTAGGATGGTGGATTGTGGTCCACATGGTGAAGATAAGCATTGCAGGAGCAGCAGGTAGTGAAAACAACAAATGGTATGTTGGCCTTCACAGTGACAGTGTTTGAGTACAGGAGCAGGGATGTCTTGCTGCAATTGTACAGGGCCTTGGTGAGGCCACCCCTAGAGTACTGTGTGCAGTACTGTGTCCCGACAACACTCAAGAAGCTTGACTCCATCCAGGACAAAGCAGCCCGCTTGATTGGCACTACATCCACAAACATCCACTCCCTCCACCACCAACGCTCAGTAGCAGCAGTGTGTACTATCTACAAGATGCACTGCAGAAATTCACCAAAGATCTCAGACAGCACCTTCCAAACCCACGACCACTTCCATCCAGAAGGACAAGGGCAGCAGCTACATGGGAACACCACCCCCTGCAAGTTCCCCTCCAAATCACTCACCATCCTGACCTGGAAATATATCACTGTTCCTTCACTGTGGCTGCAAAATCCTGGAATTCCCTCCCTAATTGCATTGTGGATCAACCCACAGCAGGTGGACTGCAGTGGTTCAAAAAGGCAGCTTACCAACACCTTCTCAAGGACAACTAGGGATGGGCAAGAAATGCTGGGCCCAGCCAGCAGCTCCCACATCCCACAAATGAATTAAAAAAAAGTTCTAGTCTCCTTACCACAGGAAAGATGTTCTGGTGATGGACAGAGTGCAACAAAGGGTTACCAGACTGATTCCTGGGATGGCAGGACTGACGTATGAAGACAGACTAGATTGGGTAGGGCTCTATTCACTGGAGTTTAGAAAAATGAGCAGAGATCTCATAGAAACGTGTAAAATTCTGACATGACCAGAATAAGTAAACACAGGAAGGATGCTCCCGGTGGGCAGAGAATCCAGAACCAGGGGTTACAGTCTAAGGATAGGAATTGGACTGAGATGAGGAGAAATTTCTTCACCCAGAGAGTGGTGAGCCTGTGGAATTCTCCGCGACAAACAGCAACTGAGGCCAAAACATTGAATGTTTTCCAGGTAGATATAGTTCTTAGGCCTGAAGGGATCAAAGGATATGGAGAGAAAGTGGCAGTAGAGGACTGAGGTGGATGGTCAGCCATGATCGGACTGAATGGTGGCGCAGGCTTGAGGGACTGAATGGTCTACACTGTGTGTTCTACTTTTCTCAGTTTCTACATGCTCTTGCTACCTGACCCACCCACCCGGTTCTAGTCAACATCAGGAAGCTGTGCCCAGTCACTCACCTCCTTGGCGATGGCGTTCCTTGCGGCGTTGGAATCTCTGATGCCCGGAAGGTCCACCAGGACAGCACCAGTCTGCAGCACGCTAGACCGTGGCACACAGATCCTCACCTGCTTCACAATCGGCCAAAACTCGCCCCCTCGGCAGGCCCAGCTATCGTCGGCACGGGAATCTATGAAACGCTGCACACTGCGGAGGAAGTCCCTCGCCTGGAGATCGGACAGGAAAGAGGGGATTTATTATCAGGGACTTCAGTTAACATGGAGAAACCAGGCTTGTGCTCCTCAAAGCAGAGAAGGTTGTGGGAGATGTAATAAAGAAGTTCAAAATCATCAAGTGTCTTGAAAGCATAAATGAGGAGAAACTCTCCCCAGGGACAGGACAGTCAGTAACCAGAGGTACACCAGTTTAAAATAATGGGCAAAATAAACAGCAGGGGAGATGAGATGAAATGACCTAGATTGGCAGGAGTTGCCTTATGACATTCTTCAACACGCACCCCTCCCCGTGTAAAGTATACTAAAGGACAGAACTTTAGATAACAAGGTGTAGAGCTGGAAGAACACAGCAGGCCAAGCAGCATCAGAGGAGCAGGAAGGCTGACCTTTCAGGCCTAGACCCTTCTTTAGATAGGCCACTTTTGGAATATTGTGTACAGCTCTAGTTGCCACACTACCAGAAGGGTGTGGAAGGTTTGGACAGGGTACAGAAATATCTTACCAGGATAGTGATAACAAGGTGCAGAGTTGGATGAACACAGCAGGCCAGGCAGCATCAGAAGAGCAGGAAACCTTTCTGAAGAAGGGTCCAGACCCGAAACGTCAGCTTTCCTGCTCCTCTGATGCTGCTTGGCCTGCTGTGTTCATCCAGCTCTACACCTTGTTATCTCAGGCTCCAGCATCGGCAGTTCCTACTATCTCTTACCAGGATAGTGACTGGTTTATAGGGTACTAGCTATGAGGAGGCTTGCCAAATTTACTTTGTTTTCACTTGAACTTAAAAGAAGTGGGGGGGCGGAGGGACCTTATAGAAGTTTACAAAATTATGGACGGCATGGATAGCTGGAGTCTTTTTCTTAGGGTAGAAATGTCAACTACTATAGGACCTAGGTCTAAAGTAAAAGAGGGTAAGTTTAAAGGAGATGTAAGAGGCAGTCTTTCTTTTTAAAAATAGAGGGTGGTTGCTGCCAGAGGTGGTGGTGGAGACAGATACAACATAACGTTTAAGAGGCTTCCTGGAAGATACATGAATAGGCAAGGAAATAGAGGGCTACAGATCGCATAAAGGCAAAAAGTTTTTGAGTTTAGAAAGCATCATGTGTTAGCGCAGTCTTGGTGGGCCAAAGGGGCCTGTTCACGTGCTGTACTGTTCTTTGTTCTTCATGTCTGTGCAGTCAGGGGTAGAACAACAACAACAAACCAGCCTTCACTAACCCTCCTCTCAGAGATAATCTTTTTCCTCCCCAGATGAGACGTGACATCCTGGATCTGCTTCAGCTCGTTATACGGGAGGATTTTGCCGTAAACGGCTCTCACACGACCATATGCCACACTGGCCTCAGAGTTAGGGTCTGGTCGCCGTTTCTTGAGCCGCCCATTTTTGTCGGTCATGTCGCGCAGCAGCAAGAGGAGCTCATTATCCCATTCCTGAAGACAAAATAGACCGGGATATCAACATACAATTAATACAAAGGCCTGCATTTCTATAGCATATTGCTAAGGTGCTTCATAATGAATACTGCTTGGAGGACCTAAGTTTTGAATGATTGTAGGAAAAGGAATGTATTTCTATTATTACAGAAATACATGGAATTGTTTCTTCAAAAGAGGCCATGGAAAGGTCACCGTGCACATTGGATGTATTTCTTAAACGAGGCTTCCAAGGAATCGCATACTGGTAATAACTGCTTGCATTGCTACAGACCCTGCTGAGGCTGTTTTGAACAGTGACTGGGTTGGAGAGGTTCTTGTTTTAAGTGGCTCAGATGGAAGAAAGCCAACTAAGAACAAGCTGTTCAGCTGATCTCTCCCAATTCTGAAAAGAAAATCCTGCTGTAAATTTCAGGGTGAAACCTGTTTATTGTTTAGACAGGAGTGACTGAAGGAGCAACTCAAGATTGTATTTCTTGAGTAAGCTGCACCTGCAAGTTTCACAGACAGTCATGCTTAGGATCAAAGAATTATAGAATCATAGAATATAGAAGAGGGCCTTCATCCCATTTAGTCTGCACCTAGCCCACAGCACTGAATGTTATGATATTTTAAATACTCATCCAAGTACTTCTTAAGAAGTTGTTGAGGTTACCTGCCTAACCTACCCTCCCCAGCAGTGCCCAGATCCCCACCACCTCTGGGAGTAATTTTCTTTTCTTCAAATCCCCTCCAAACCCTCTGCTTTTAGCACTAAAATTATGTACTCTTGTTACTGACCCTTCAACTAAAGGAACAGCAGCTTCCTATTCACCCTGTCCATGCCCCTCAATCTAATACACCTCTATCAGGTCTCCTATCAGCCTTCTCTGCTCCAAAGAATACAACCCCAGCTTATCCAGGCTCTCTTCATCGCTGAAATTATCTATTCCAGGCAGCATCCTGGTGAATCTCCTCTGCACCCCCTTCAGTGCAATCACATCCTTCCTATAGTGCGGAGACAGAACTGCACACATTATTCTAGCTGTGGCCTAATGAAAGTCCTGTGCTGCTCCAACATAACCTCCCTGCTCTTATAATCTATGCCAAAACTTGTTTAATGATTTGCATGATTGGAAACTTGACCAAATAAGTCAGAACATCAGGGCAACAGGCTCCGGAACATCCTTATGCCAAAGTCTTTTTTACCCTTTTCACAGAGCCAATCTCTGCAGAGAAATTATTGCTTTCTCTTTTCTTGAGATGAACGTGACTGTATGTGGGTTAGCACGTGAATTAGTTTGGGGAATCTTCACGGGACAAGCATTAATACTTCGATATTACTGACTACGTACATTAATCAATTAATGTATGTTCTGAATAAACCAATAGTCATGTTTATTAAGAAACCTGATCAATAGATCTTGCTGCTTCAAGTCTGATCTAGATAAGGTATTTAATTGGTCATCTTGAAAAGGTATTTTCATTTTAGATCAAGGCCCATGGAGCAGTGGGACTAGAACAGTATATATCTCCAGTCCTAGTCATAACAAGCATCTTCGCTGTCCTGTTGATAAGTTGACTCCAACTGTCCTGTGACATACATTGATGTAACAAGATCTGTTCTCTGCAAGTAAGTGGGGTATCTCAAACTTTGGGCCTTGGGGTTACCCAAGTGTTTGGGGATCCGGTCGTCCCCCATTGATTACTCTATGACAAAACATTGGTTAGTCACCTGCAATCTTTTTTCCTGTTGCATAAATTGTTGTGATTGTTTGAAATTTGGCTCATAAAGGGACTTGGGGACACGTGCAGGCAATACAGAAAGGTAACACACAGGTGCAGCAGGTAATCAGGAAAGCCAATGGAAAGTTGGCCCTTATTTCAATAACAAAAGGGTCTCAAAGCAACTGTACAAGGTGCTGGTGAGACCACATCTGGAGTACAGGTTTGGTCCCCTCATTTAAGGAAAGATGTTATTTCATTGGACGCTGTTGAGACAGGGATCATTAGGATGATCCCTGGTATGGAGAGATTGTCTTATGGGCAAAGGCTAAACAGGTTGGAACTCTACTCGCTGGAGTTTAGAAGAATGAGAAGTGATCTCATTGAAACATATCGGATTCTTAAGGGGCTTGACAGGGTCAATGCTGAGAGGATCTTTCTCCTCATGGGAGAGTCTACGATCAGAGTACATATAATCTCAGAATAAAGGGGCACCAATTTAAGACTGAGATGAGGAGGAATTTATTCTCTCAGGGTCTTTGGCACTCCTTACCACAGAGAGCTGTGGGGCAGAGTCCTTGTGTGTATTTAAGGCTGAGATACATGGATTCTTGATCAGTCAGGGAATCAAGGGTTATGGGAAAATGGAAGGAAAATGGAGCTGGGGGCTGGAGGATCAGCCACCACCCTATTGAATGGCAGAGCAGGTTTGAACAGCAGAACAGCCTCTTCCTGCTCCTACTTCTTATGGTCTCATGGCCTTCTGGATTCTTGCATTTGTCCTGATGAGTATAAAGATGAAAAGCTTCAGCAACATGTCTCTCTTTACAGCAAGACACAAGGCTAGAATTTACAGATCAATAGGGAAAGAATAGAGGAGTGGGAATAATGGGAAGTGTCTTTTGAAGTGGGGAAATTACCTCCTCCTGCACTGCGTCACTCAATAGCCTTAAAGTTGGACCCAATTCGTTCACAGAGTGAGGTCAGAAAGCTGTTCACTTAAAACCTGGTGAAAAATCACATCAACTCTTTACTCCTACCCCTAAATGCTGAGGCTGGGGTTTGATTAGAAATTTAATAATACTGGAGCTCATTAGGCAGCCATTCACCAATCACCACCAATTTCCCCCCTTTTAAAAGCTACTCAATTCATCTCACTCTACTGCTCCTTCCTCAAAGCCCAAACCCCTCCCCTTCCAATATTTATCTAATTACTCCTTCTGAAAGTTACTACAGAATCTGTTTCCACCTTTCTTTCAGAAGTCACATGACACTAGGTTCTAGTCCAACAGGTTTAATTGAAATCACAAGCGTTTGGAGCGCTGCTCCTTCGTCACCTGTTCAAATAAACCTGTTGGACTATAACCTGGTGTTGCGTGACTTCCGGCTTTGTCCACCCCAGTCCAACACCGGCACCTCCACACATTTCTTTCAGGCAGAACTTCCCAGGTCCCCAGAATAGTTCCAGGAATGAGAAACCTGAGTGATCAGGACAGATTGAAGACGTTGGGACTGAACCCCGAAGGCCGAGAAGAGAAACAAACAACAAACAGAAATGGCTGGAGAAACTCTGCAGGTCTGGCAGTTTCCAGGAAGAGAGAAACAGGGTTAATATTTGGAGCCCAGTGACCCTTCTTCAGAGCAGATCTGAAGACCTGCTGAGTTTCTCCAACAATTTTGTTGTTTGTGTTTGTCCCTTCCTGCAGCCACCTGCTCTCTAAAGGAGAGCAACATAAAAAGAGAAGGAGCAAACAGATTTACAGTGACGTGCAAAGGCAGCAAGGCTGATACGAGAAAGCACTTTTACACACAGCAATTAGTTCGGGTATGGCATACACTGCCTGTAAATGTGGTGGATGGATTCGAGAGAGGACTGGATGATGATCTGGATAGAAATAGTGTGGGGAACAGGGCAGGAGATTGGTGCTCAGTAAAGACCTCAGCTGACCTAAGGAGCCAAATCGCCTCCCGTGCCTGAACAATTTGGTGATTCTGTGGGAAAACTAACTCCACTCACCTCCTCAGAGAAGAACTCCACTTCAGCGCAGTAATTGTCATTCTTGGCGTTGTGAGAGACCTCAACAGCTACAGCCGTGCAGGCCCTCATGGCAGAGGTGGGTAGGACAGCTTCCTCATCCAGCAGGGCGTTCAGTAGGCTGCTCTTCCCTGAGCCTGTGTCTCCAATCACCGCAATGTGGGTGAGAGGGGGGGCTGTCTGTCTCTGCAGCTCCTCAATCTGCTTCCTGGAGACCAATAAAGAAGGGGAAAGAGACGGAGTAGTCAGGACGGTTTGACAGCTAATAAAGGAAGGAGCCAATTTATACCATGCCTTTCATGGCACTGGAACACATCTCTTGTCGGTGAAGATGAGATATGCTCTTTGCTCCAATGAACAAAACACAGTGCTCCCCCAGCACTGACCCTCCAATAGCGCTGCGCTACCCCGGCACTGACCCTCCGACAGTGTGGCACTGCCTCGGCACTGACCCTCCGACAGTGCCCGCTCCCTCAGCGCTGACCCTCCGACAGTGCGGCGCTCCCTCAGCGCTGACCCTCCGACAGTGCGAGGCTTGCTCAGGATTGACTATCTGATCAGGAATCTGGACACAATGATCGACAGCTGATCAGTGAGGAACTGTTAATGGGGCGAGTCACAGCCACAGGAGGTTGAGTTCTAGTATGGGGCCTGGAGCTGCTGAATAAAACATTGCAATGCAGTGAACGAGGGAGTGCTGCACTGTTGCTGGTGTCTTGTGCTAAATTAGACATTAAAACAGTTGGGGATAGAAGATCCTGGTTCAAGAGGTGGGGGACTTCTCTCAACAATCTTTATCAAACTTATTGCTCGATCATAATCAATCATTCTCATTGCTGGGTGTGGAATCTTGATGCATTTCTAGACTTCACAACAATTTTAAAATAAAAAAAGGATTACTAAGTCTGAGATAACAAGGTGTAGAGCTGGATGAACACAGCAGGCCAAGCAGCATCAGAGGACCAAGAAGGCTGACGTTTTGGGCCGAGACCCTTCTTCAGAAATGGGGGAGGGGAAGGGGGTTCTGAAATAAATAGGGAGAGAGGGGGAGGCGGATGGAAGATGGATAGAGGAGAAGATAGGTGGAGAGGAGACAGACCGGTCAAAGAGGCGGGGATGGAGCCAGTAAAAGGTGAGGGTAGGTGGGGAGTTAGGAAGGGGATAGGTCAGTCCAGGGAGGACGGACAGGTCAAGGGGGTGGGATGAGGTTAGTAGGTAGGAGATGGGGGTGCGGCTTGAGGTGGGAGGAGGGGATAGGTGGGAGGAAGTACAGGTCAGGGAGGCGGGGATGGGCTGGGCTGGTTTTGGGATGCGGTAGGGGGAGGGGAGATTTTGAAGCTTGTGAAATCCACATTGATACCATTGGGCTGCAGGGTTCCCAAGCAGAATATGAGGTGCTGTTCCTGCAACCTTCAGGTGGCATCGTTGTGGCACTGAAGGAGGCCCAGGATGGACATGTCGTCTGAGGAATGGGAGGGGGAGTTGAAATGGTTCGCGACTGGGAGGTGCAGTTGTTTAGTGCGAACCGAGCGTAGGTGTTCTGCAAAGCGGTCCCCAAGCCTCCGGTTGGTTTCCCCGATGTAGAGGAGGCCACAACGGATACAGCGGATGCAGTATACCACATTGGCAGATGTGCAGGAGCAGACAAGGGAGTTACGGAGAGAGTGGTCCCTCCGTGACTCCCTTGTCCGCTCCACACTCCCCTCCAGCCCCACCTCACCTGGCACTTTTCCCTGCAACCGCAGGAAGTGCTACACCTGCCCCTACACCTCCCCCGTCACCCCCATCCCAGGCCCCAAGAAGACTTTCCACATCAAGCAGATGTTCACCTGCACATCTGCCAATGTGGTATACTGCATCCGCTGTACCCGTTGTGGCCTCCTCTACATCGGGGAAACCAA